TATATATGAAATCTTAATTATTATATTCGGCTGAAATTGAAAAGTTTCTATGATATTTAAATGTAAGTTTTATAAAAGACAATAAGAAAAAAAATAAAATAAAGAAAAAATGAAATGTTGAACACAACAGGAAGACAAGAATTGCTATTCCTCTTTTACGTTAAAATAATGAAGATAGAAAGAAAAACAAAAAAAAGAAAATTAAGTAATAGAATGTGATAGAATGATTGATTTTAGCTGTGGCAACGAAAGAATCAATCCTTCTTAACTGAGCGTGCTATATATTAGAGGAAGTCGCAAAACTTTCTATACACAGATAGAATATACGAGGGTGATTTGGATGAAACGATTTTTTGTTTTGTTTAGATATGTTACAAATGAGTTATGTTCAACAATACAGTAATTCGAGCTAAGAACAAACTTTTTCTTTTATTTACAAATGAATAAATAAATAAATAAATAAAAATGTTAATTACTATAAAAAAAAGAAGAAAAAGGATTTATATTTATATAATACGATATAATTATCTATAGGATGTTTGATAAAAGTGTATGATTTTTGTTAGAAAAATGTTTCATACAATCACCCTCATATTTATACGAATGTGATGTTCTATCCTCTCGGAAAAAGACCTGTTGCGTCGATCATTTTCACATTTGTGGCACATTTTATTTCCGTCTTCTGTTCTCGCTAGCTCTAATTTGTTAAACGCAACAAACACGCCATAAAACTCGTTAAAGCCGCAGAGAGACGAATAAAATCGCACATCTCGGACCAGCTGGCTTATTTTATGCCAGTTAAATCTTACATACCCGTTATAATAAAATACACATTTACAATATTACGGTAACCATAGTCGCGATTCGACTTAAACGCAACGCTTAAACACGCTTACACTCATTACACTTATTCAACATTCTCTCTCTCTCTTTCTCTCTTTTGTTCTTTTTTTCGTTCTTTCGCTCTCTCTCGCTCTCTCTCTCTCTCTCTCTTTCTCTCTCTCTCGCTCTCGCATATGTAATTATATATACAAGTTTCGAAAATTGATTAAGAGTTCTGATATCCTTCTCTTTCTCTCTCTCTCTTCGCACCATTTATAAAAAATTGTTATTCGTTTCATCGTAGACTTAATTTTAAACACTTTCCTCCTTGTGTCACGTGTGTCCCCCTCCGACTCTTAAAATTAAGCTCATCCGACCTCAAGCGCTCCCCCCTTTTTTCTAACCATTCTTCTTCTTCTTCTTCTTCTTCTTCTGTTTCTTCCTCTTCTTTTTCTTCTTCTTCTTCCTTTTCTTCTTATTCTCCTTCATCTTCTTTTTCCTCTTCTTCTTCCTCTTCTTCTTCTAATCGGTAATTTTGTTCTCGAGTCTTTCACGATGATGATGTGTTGCAGCACTCTCGCTATCTATCGTGTACAACTATTTTAAAAATATCTCCGTAAGTCAATCATGTGGTCCATCACAGATAGTTCCAAGTGTGTCGGAGGTTTACATACATATACATACATACATCATACAAGATGCTACGCTGTGCTGTATTAGACGAGACAACAACAACAACAAAAATAGGAAAAAAAAAGAAGAATATTAACAAACAAATAAACAAACAACAAAAAAACATACGAACTAACAAATAATAAACTAGCAAACAAACAAACAAATAAATAAATAAATAACAGACGTATGCTGCACACTTTCAAAGATTCTTCTTATAATTATTTTTCATTCGAAATTTTCGCGAAAGTACCGATTACATCATTACAACGTATTTATTTAACAAGAGTTTTAATCCTATTCATTTCTCACCCTTTTCTCTTCTTCCTTTCTTTTTTCATTTTTTTTTTTATTTTATTTTATTCTATTTACACTCACTTTCTTTCTCTTTCTTTCCCCTCTCTCTCTCTCTCTCTCTCTCACTCACTCTCTCTTTCTGTTCGTCTTTTTTTATTTTTTCTCTTTTCTTATGTTTTTCTTCTTTAAATATTATTACTTTAAATATTAATACACACAAAAAGAGACGAATGCTCGTGTCTCAACGGATTCCCCTTCCTCGGATCGGCATCAGAATTAATCTTCTCGACAAATCCTCGAAAGATCGTGCGCTTATTTGTAATTCATGATCTCGAGTTTAGAAAAAAAAAAAAAGAAGAAAAAAAAGTGCAACTCGGTTGTTTTGTTAATATTATCATAATAATAATAATATAATAATAATAATAATAATATTAATAATATTATTAATAATAATAATAATAATAATAATAATAATAAGGCTCATAATCGTTCCAAAATCGAGAATTCTAAATCCTGTTGTATTTTTAATTATTTATTTATTTAATTTTTTTCTTTCTTTATTTATTTATTTATTTATTTATTTATTTATTTATTTACTCGAGAAGGAGAAGAACGACGAGAGAGTACTTGCGATTATACTTGTTTAAGGCATTATGTCGGTTCATCATCTCGATCTTTAGTAAGTTTAGTCGCCATTGTAGTCGTTCTTCGCAGTTGCATTCTCTTGGCAGTGAGCGAAGAAGAAATGGAGAAAGAAGCACAGAAAACAACAACAACGTAGTGAATATATTTTGTTCTTATTCATCGTGGTTTTAATCATTTTCTTTTTCTTTGAATATTCATTTAAATCCGATCGATTCGCCACTTTATCGGATTTCTTGCACTTCTTCGAGACACTATGTTATGTGTCAATGTTACTTTTTTTCTTTTCTTTCTTTTTCTTTTTTTTTCTTTTTTGTACAATTTTAAAGAGAACAAGAGACAGTATTGGGTCTCGATCATTCCTTCAGGTATCGCAGATGACGATCGTATGGAGGATTCGAGAGGATTATAGCCAGGTGGGCTAAGAGAATCCGTTGGATCGAGATTTTTGGGCTTATTGTTGTTGCAATTGTTGTTTTTGTTGTTGTAGGATGAGAACGAGCGTAGGATCGGGGGCCGAACGGTACTTCGCGCTCGACTTTGAACCGCGGCCCCGTGTGTCATACAGGCTCTTCCCTTTTGATGTTGATATTTTGCGAGGCGCAAAAGTCGCGCGTAAAGGGTATGCAATTGAAGAGCTTGCAGGCCTCGCAATCATAGAGGGGGACGTTGTAAAAGAGGGCAAGAAGTAGAATGAATAGACTGACTATGAGTACGAGGCAAACCCAGATAATAAAGATTTTACGACGCCTATCGTAATGGCCGAAGGAGACGAAAGGCATGAATGCGTAAGCCGCAAAGAAGCCGAAGATAAAGCCAAATAGGTGCGCATAGTTGTCGATCCATGGTAAAACACCGAGTATTAGTAAACCGAAGAGTGTTGAGAGTAACTTGATAAGTGCTCGCCTTGGATGTTTTAGCATTTGCCAGCTATTCAGGACCTCGACGACTAATGTTGCGAGCAATGCAAAGTGTGCACCAGCTGGACCAACCTGAAACAAACAAATATTTATAATGTATTGCATTGTATTTGATTGTTCTTCTAATCAAATTTAAATGATAATACATGCAAATATTGGGTGTATATATATATTAAAAATATAAATCGGCACGAAGTTTTCCGGATAATTCTAATATTATTTTATTATTACCTCCGCTCTGTAAGGAACGAATATGGCACTGGCCAAATTTCCAGCTAACGCACCGATGAAATAGATCAAAGCGATACGCAACGAACCCGTTAACTTTTCCAAGTCTCTCATCAAGAAATATTGGATCAGCAGAGTGATCCCCAGGTGTAGAATTCTGAAAGATAACATGTTTAAATCCATAGATTGGTTAAGATACCGATAGTTTATAAAATAAGGATAGCGATACTACCCAGCATGAAGAAAGGTCGTAGTGAATAATCTGTAAAACTGGTCCGGCCATTCAGGATGGAGGAACGGTATCATACCGCAAACGTCATGGAGGCATTCGACTTGGGAGCACAAGGATGCTTCCTCGTGGAAATAACCACCAACAAAGTCACAATATTCCTTTGTTGTTATTCTACACATTCCATGAATACCAATACAACAGGGATGTCCTATCACCTCGCAAACCATGTGCTCCGCCATTTTGTCTTTGTATCGACCAATCGGGAAGTTTCCATTTCCTCTTTGATTCAAATTTTTGCTAATAAATTAACAAAATTTAATTGATAGGTTTGTTATTTTTAATATTAAATTAATAATTAATTACTGATTAGAGTTTCATACATACTTGTACCGCTGACTGAACGGATTAGTTTTTCGACAGATAGGCCATTTGGTGATATCATCTGGCCATTCGTATGGGGCTATGCTCGCTGGTGCATCACAAAATTTTGGATCCAAACCACAAACGGATCCACTTATTCGTCCACCGGGTCCACTATCTCCAGGGCCCCATTTTTTCCAGGTCGATATTGTATTCTATATATATTTTCATTTTTATTCAATTACTATATTTAATTTTGTTACACATTTATATTATACACCTAATATAAAATATTATATAATATTATTATTATATACTTAATTGTTTCTAAAGAAAAAGTGGCATATCTCAAAGTTTGGATAACATTAATATAATTCTAACACGTTGACTGCCACGCGAGTTTTATATGCTTTCTTGTAGGGGTAACAATTCTTACAATGAGATTAAATATAAAACAAAATATTAGTAAAGCGAGTTACAGATGACCCTCATGATTCTCCCATCGAAAAAACAAACGTCAGTTATGGATGATCTCCACATGGCAGTCAACGTAATAGAAACGAAATATTAACAATACAGCTGCTAATTCATTAAACGTGAATCGTGAAACGGATTCATGCATAATGGGGCATTAAATTTACCGTAATTGTTGATTTCAATCCTCGGACCAGTTGATTTAGTAACAAAATTAGAAATTATATTATTAATAGGATCTTTACAATATAAAAAAAAAAACAAAAATATTTGAATAAACTGAATAGTAAACGATTAAACAATAAAATCAAATTGAACTCACTGAACAGTCGGCTTTACTAGATTGTACACAACCGGAATCATCGTTTCTAATACAGCAAGCAGTATCGCGTTCTCTTTCTCTCCATATGTCGATCTCTTTTAATATTTTAATATCTCGACGCATACAGGGTGCAAATTTTGCACCGAGATGAATCAAATCCGCTGCTCTTGGTCCAAACCAGAAATTTGCAGGCTCTTGATAATCGACCTCTTGCAACGATAAACTCGTTACCAATACCTGCAAACAAATAAAAATATAATTAATAATAAATATACCAAAACATCTGATATAAGAAAACAATTAAAAAGAGAAAAAAAAAAAAAAAAAAAAAGAAAAAAAAAAAAACTAGAAAGATTAAATGAATTTTCGATAGATGAAGATGAATTAGAAAATATATTTAGCGTATAAATGGTTCCATACGCAAATGTATATGTACATACATATATAGATAGATAAGCAAATACATATTAGCACACACACATACATAGANAAACTAAAAAGATTAAATGTATTTTCGATAGACGAAGATGAATTGGAAATTCTATTTAGCGTATAAATGGTTCCATACGCAAATGTATATGTACATACATATATAGATAGATAAGCAAATACATATTAGCACACACACATACATAGACAGAATAGAGATACGAAGGATCGTGATGGAAATGGAGCAAATCGAGGTACGACGACGTTGAATAACGCGACGACCGTAGCACCTCATGATTATTTATAGGGAAACGATTTGTTGAGAGCACACACGACGGCACGCGCGGTTTGCATAACATTTGCAATCTATCAATTATCGCGTATAAAGTTTTATTCGTAATTGCTTGGGTTAACGATTTTATATATATATATATGTATGTATGGTCAATGTATAGAATCCGAGTATTGTATAGATTGCCCGGAAGCATTCTATAGAATGTCCTATAAGATGGAGCAATATATATTTTGAGCATATATTTCTTACATTGTCTGGTCAACTTATAAAATGATCAGAAGGTTTTGGTCAATTTAGAATATATGCTTCAGATGGGATTATGTTTAGAGCACGGGGGGAGGGAAGTGTGTTTAAGCTAAGTTTTAAACAGATTGAAAGGAATATATAGCTAAACAAACCCTCTGATTCAAATTTGAAAAAATGTTCAAAAAAACCCTGATAAAACATGAGGGAAGAAACGTTCTTTCTAATATAGAAAAAGATACGATTTCAATTATTAATAATTAAAGATATATACCGTTACTTTGTTAATATAAATTATAATTAATTAGGTCTTATACTGCTTATACAGTGTATGATGATTTTGATGGACTCTTATAACTGTGTAGAATTTCCCCCAAAAAATCGCTGTCTTGTCAATTAGGCTCTATTAGTACAAAGTAATTGATTTTTGGATAAAAACTAATAATTAATCTTATGTAAAAAAAAAAAAACAAAAAATGGAGTAAACATATGCATGAATAAATAAATTGTAAAATATGAATTATAACTTACCCTTGCTGATCTATGATTGAGTTCCAAACCAACAGGTCCAAAACCATAACACGCCAAAGATATTATCAGAATGAGAACCTGTACCGTCGTGATCCAATATGTAAAGTAAGGTCTGTGATCTTCGAAATCGTCCAATTGCTTTCTCACTTCCGGTTTGTTGGTTACGCTCTTTCGAAAGGATCTTCTGCAAATATAGGAAAACAGAAAAGAACAAATTTAAGAATATATATCTATCTATCTTTTCCGCTTTTTTTCTTTCTCTCTCTTCATATCTCTCTCTCTTTCTCTGTCTTTCTTTCTTTTTTAGTTTCATGTCACGTCTACCACTACCATCAAACCAAACGACTACGGAGTACGGCAACGTCTCGTGACATTTAATAAAATGTCGCGGATTCGTATCAATCATTCTCCGTATCAAAGATGACATTTCCTGTCACACCCGGATCCCATTATTATCCACCTTGAAATTCTAACTTTAAACGAGTCATTCGTCGACTCCTCGTTCATCTTTCTCTTTTTCTTGTTTTTTTTTCTTCGTTTTATCTTTCCTTTCTTTTCTTTTTTTTCTTTTGTTTTTGCTTTTTCTTATAACGTGAAAATATCGTTTGAAAGAAAAAAAGAAAAAGAAAAATGATTAATAATAGAGAATTAGGAAAAATTTACGAATACCTTCATATTTCTATAAGATCAATCATAATGATTGGTTATGACAAAATATATTACGTTAATAAATTAATCATCATCATCATTAAGATCATAACTATTATCATATTTATCGTAATCGATCATTGTCATTGTCATTGTCATGATCATCATAATCATCAAGAAAAAGAAGATGAAGAATTATTCGAAGTTTACCTTACAATTATAACGTCACAATATGTTAACGTAGTAGTAGGAAACCAAAATACTAACTTAGAGATCTAATTTTGAATTGGTACAAACAGCTTTTTCCATTAATATTTATTTATGCATGAGATTCTTGAGTCTTGCTTCAGAGAAGTCTTTGTTTCATAGAAAACTGTGCTTTCTCTCTCTCTCTCTCTCTTTCTCTCTTTCTCTTTCTCTTTCTCATTCTATGTACGTTGCTTAGTACATAAAGAACTAAGTTCGTTAAACGAACGGTGAAAAGTGAAAGAGCGTTTCGCGTGAATAAATTGTCGAGAATTCGTTCTTATTATATTGTATTTTTCATTCGAAAATTGAAAATCTAATTATTTATATTAATATTTATATTAATAATATTTTCATTTAATATATTCATAAAAATCTATACTTATTGAATTATTATGAATGTTATATAATTCACATGAAAAATATCAAAATTTGTAAATGCATTTTACATCGAAAATATTTAAAATAATTAGAAAGTGTATAAATTTAAGTAATAATATAATTGTAATAAGATTATTTATGTAATAGTTTCGATTCAAAGTGTCAAAGTTTATAAGGGTATTTTTTTTTCGAAATAAATTTTTAAAATAAATTTTTGATAAATATGATGAACAAACATACCCAAAGAATCGTCCAACGATTCCCATGCCATATTGCCGTCGATTACTATTATCGAAGATACGATCGATGGTATTAGACGAGATTCTCGTACCACCGGTCATTTCCCTTCTCAGAGAGACACCATCGTCATGCTGCATCCTTGTGTCTTCCCTTAGTGGGCTGTCGTATTTCGACCTGCTCCAACTAGTTTTTCTGTAATATCTATCGTTGTAAAACGTATCTTGTGTGCTCGAAACATCGAAATACTATTTTTTATTCAATTTATAATTAATGCAAACGCATCTACTATGCATGTAAAATTTAGAGATATAACAAATTTTATTCTTTTTTTTTTTTTTTATAATTATATATTATTACTTCTAATAATTCTTGACGCGACGAACACACGTGTGGTCTAACAATAATACAACGGTATGTAAATTATTGATTAAACAAATTTTTGTTCAACTTTTTCTAATTTAAATACTACGAAAAATCATCAATCATGGTATATAAAATAATAACAATTGATTTAGATTTGATAAAAGATACAATAAATCAATATGTAAGCGTGATTTTAAAGTAAAACTGAATTAAAAGGAATTAAAATAATAATTAATTATCGATTAAACATACCTTGAAGTATAATGGTCCCTCGTGACCTGATGAGGTCTCCTAACTTGTCCGTCAATTGTACTCCTTTCATCTTTTTGCTGTGCGAACCTGTAAAAGAAATCTTGTGAATTTACTTCCATTTGTTTTTTTGTTCCTAAAAAAAAAAGGGGAAACCTAAAACTAAGTTAGAATTAGAAGTACTATTCGATATTCGTCGTGATCGTTGTCGATAAAATATTGGATATGTGAAGGGAAGGAACGGAAATGACTGAATAAGGATACGAAGATAGAAGGATTGGAAGGATGAATCTGACGATACCTGACCAATTCCTCGCTCGTATCACGTTCGTTCCCTGAATCTCGAATTTCTATCTTGCTATCGACATCTTCGGCTTTAGCCAATCCACCAGTAGTCTGTTCGATTTGCGTTTGGGATTGTTGCTGACTCGACAAAGCTGGCGGAGGTAATGGCGGTGGTGGAGGAGGTGGTCTTTCGAAAAACGATTCTTCTTCTTCCTGACCGCTTTCTGGAGATGATACACCTTCTGTCCTTGACAGATACGCGATTACGCTCGGTGGAAAACTTCGAGATTCTGGCCTCGTTCGAGATCTTTCTCTTGGACGTTGTCTCGTCATTGACTGAAATAACACAACAACAGCAACAATTCAAATTAAATCGAACAATATTAACAATTGCATCAATAAATACGTCATTTAAAGGGTTATAACATCTTGATGCTTTGAAAAACTAGCATAAGAAAATGATCCTACTTGAAAGAGTTATGTCAAACAAACATTTTTTTATTATGCTTGTTTCTGCGAGCTAACGTGGTGTAATTCCTTAAATATAGTAGTAGTAGTAGTAGTTTATTGCAAGGACTCTGAGTGAACTTAGGTTTACAATATTTACTTAATTACTTTTACTTCATTCACTCCACTTCGTTTTTAGGATTTACGTTATACTTTCTTCAATTTTTTTTTATTTATACTTGTTAAACATTATTATTTAAACGTATATATTGTATAGTTGACGATATAATATATTTTCGCGGTTTATTTCATAAAATAATTACTATCAAATCAATGTAGATTACTTTCTTTGCGCACACGCATTACGAATTGCCTATCGCCAGGGGTCAAATGCACGGCACTTTTGATTCGCATCGATAATCGGTAGATGGCGCTGACAGTATGCTTCGACCGATCGATTAAAGAATCGAGACACTGCGAGCGTCATGTTGAAATTTTGAATTTACAGCCTGAGGTAGGGTAACGTCGAATATGTTATTAAAATAAGTAAGGATTTTCATACGAGATAAGGAAAGTTCGAAGAACTTGAATCGTTGAGATAGGTTTCTTAACTACAATTAAAGGTTACGAACGCATACCATTTTAGAGATAAAATTATGATAACGTATATGTCTCTTTCTTTCTCTCTCATTCTCTTATGCCGGTTGTTATAGTCTTCTGTAATTCGTGGGAGGAAGTATCGTAATGATTTTCTAACGATATGCACGAAAGCCGGCAAATTACAAGGTTACGCTCGTATTCGCAGAAAGTTATCGGGTTTGATGTCGTTTTTAACGAGCTTAAGCGCCTCTAACCGCATATCAAGCGAGCTCCTACGCGAACTAGTGGTTGTTTCCCTTTCAAAGGGCAGCACGATATTCCCTTTTAGAGATTCCTCGAATTGCACGTTCTCGAAGTAACACAGATGCACCAGACGATAACGTCTTTCCGCATTTGAAATACTTGCTTTTCTACAGAGACTCACAATCAAAGAAAATTAGATAAAGAGAGTGCAAAAGAAATTCTAGATTTTTCATTAAACTCTCGCATATGCATCTACAAAACGAACATTTACTACTTTTACCATCAATCATGGAATCTACCATCCCTACATTTCGTTACCATTTGTACGAAATTATCCGAGATAATTCTAAACGCGATTATCCGTTTTCTTTCGTATACTTTGTTTATTAAAATGAAATATAATAAGTTTCAATATTTTAAGCTCATTCCGTGGAATATTCTAATGTTAATTATTTAGTTAATATTCGAACAAATCATTCAATTAAAATTTCATATATCTTTCTTACACGATCCATGTCTCACAAACAAATCATGGACCGTGTTAAATTTGTTATTTTACCTTACATCAAAAATATTCGAAATAACAATTTTGCCTTTAATTCTTTGCACAATAAAGTCATCTCCGACGTGACTAAAACATTTTTTCCCTACAATTTCTAGAACAAAACAAATCAGTATAAAATATAATGCAATTTAAAAAATAAAATAAAATAAAATGTTTGCGCAACAGGTCTTTTTATTATCTATAATTCCATGCCGCAAAGGGTTATTAAACTATGATAACCGTGTTTGCTAAACGTTAATAATTTCATTTTAACGTTCATTTAATCATCTCGAATCTAATTAGGAAAGACAATCATTTAAAAATCATCTCACCGTGGAATACATACACAATAACGATGTTTCGATTATTCATCCAACTATCGTCGTACTTTAACACGACAGAGGACTTCGAGTGTACGTCCATTATAGTCACGAAATCTATAATAGTATTATCGCGTTAGCTGTTAATTTCGAGAATCCCGGAACGTCATTCATTGATATTAACTTATGAGCTTTCACGTCGATTGCCGATGCACGCAGGAGAACATGGGCAACAATTGATCGGAAGAGGAGTAGGAAGGGAAGGGACTGGCTGGTTGGGTTAGACCCTCCATGGTAATTTGATTTTACAATGATTGTTAATGAGCTTGCGAATTTGTGAATTATTTTATCTAATTATCTATGTCATTATTTATAAACGTGTAATGCATTTATAATCAATCGTGTTATATCATGATTCAAGGTCCGTTAATGGCAAGTATCGATGATGCTTTCCATCCGATGATGTTTTGTATGGAAGTAATAATAATAATATAATAATATAACAAAATATTTAGATATACCTCTCTACACTCAAAAATAACTCGAAAAAAAATGTTTTGTACTTTAAAAAAAAAATTAAATTTAATATTAATTAATTATTAATATAGAAGAGGAAAATTGTTTTGAACACTAATGAGAAATTAAAAAGGCAAACAAAGTTGAGAAGTAAGCAAAATTAAAGTAAAACTTACGAATTTTTGTAATAATTATTATTAACAGTGTCCACGTATACAAATACAATGACGACGAACACAACTACGATAAGAAGGAAGTTCATAGTCATCGGTTAATATCGATTTGTTTGTTGTGTTAAGTGTGTAGAGTTGCTGCGTCCAGGTTATATTGCAATTCAGTCCTGTTTAATACCTACGATCGGCTTTTATCTTTCATACACATCCAAAGGTATATAAACGTGTTACACGATTATATAGTGTTACGTTACCTGCGATAGTAACGTTATAAATGCAATGTCGAAGTAGCATCTAAGCCAGCTTAGATCCCATTACCGATATTATCCTCTATGAATTTCGAATATTATGCCACTATTAGATTCGATTATAAACGTTGACAAAATATCTATAAGGAATGAAAATATTTTATAAGATAAACATTGTTTCAAATTGTATTATATATTATTATTGATTTTTTTTTAAATCCTTTCTTACGTTTACTTCAATTTTAGATTAGATTTTAATTGATATTTTATTTTCACGAGGGGGATCATTTTAATAATAATTAGATAGTCGTATTAGAAATTTAAATCATATCCAGAATATTGTCCCGTTTATTGTAAAATATTAGAATATCTTGTTAGAGATTGAATCTAGTATAAATATTTTGTTGTTACTCTTTTATTTTATATAAAATATATATTTTTCCAAATGCCGTGAACTTCTTAATTTCCCAAATTATCATATCTCACAAAGGTCTATTTAAGATCTAAAAAATACACGAATTAATAATAACACATTTATAATATTTAACGGTGGAAAAATGTTTGCATGTAGATTAAATTTCAACAAATGCAATCGTACTGTGAAAGAAAAAAAAAAAGAAGAAAACAAATAAATGGGTTTCTATTATATATAAAAACAATTTAACCAATCACTGTTTCCCAGTTGCGGAGAAAAAATTTCTAACGTGCGATGTTTTTCTTTGTATCAAAGAAATTAATGAAAATAAATTTTTTCGATAGGTTCGCTACCTCACGAGATATTCATATTTTTACAAATAAACGAGTCACATATATCTATTATGTATATATATAGAGAGAGAGAAATAGAGAGAAGAGAATAGACAAAGTTTTAGCTACTGCAATGGGCAGACACGGAGAAGTACAGTAGTGGCAGTAGGTGATTGGTTAGACCATGTCTGCTTGTGACGTGTTCACTTGCTAAGTTCATCGGCATCCATTGTGAGAAGTTCATATATGACCTACTACACAAACACAAACACAGATATTCAAATATAGATACATATATACAAAGAGACATTCACACGTATGTAGCATATACCTACACGCACAAATGTTCACACGTATATACAAGTTTTGAGGATTATCATTGGACTAACGTAATACGATAAAAAATAGGAAAGGTTTGCGAATAATTATCGATTTTATTTTAAACGAAGCAAAGAAAGAAAGAAAGAGAGAGAGAAAGGAAACGTAACGATTTGTTTAACTTTTGTAAAAATAAAAAGAAAAGATATAATAAAAAAAAAAAAAGAAACAGAGATAGAAAGCTTTAACTTTTTGGTTTGTCTTAATTAACGATCCTTTGAGTGCCGTTTAATTTTAACATCAAGTAAATTTGTATTCCATTAGACCGGTTCTTTATTTATTTATCAAGATCGCAACTCGGCCCTTAGAATAATATTTGCCTTTCACTACAGTCGATCATTCTTCCACTTTGTATCATTCGAAACTTTTTTTCTTTTCTTTTCCTCTCTCAATTTTCCATTTCGTTTCTTCTTCTCTTTTATTTTTCTAAATTAAACTAAAAGCAATCTATTATTGTATGTGTGATATGTTAGAACACTTACCATTTTTAAATATTTGAGGGATTTCTGGTTCGTATTATTTACAAATGTCTGACCATGTAAGGATACTTTTTCTGATACTACTTAAAAATGTCTGATCATATAAGGGGTCCCCTGTTCGTACTACGAATATGTAAAATAATTCAAATAAAGTAATATTACAAAATTGTTGTTTAAAAATTAAAAATATTAATTATATTTATGTAGTAATACAAAATGTTTAATCATTAAATATGGAAGAAATTTGTTTGAAATTGTTTAGATTGTTTTTTGAGAATGGAAGCTAATATTAATTCGCGTTTTAATATTCAAATAATTTTGATCAAATTGTATGTGACACTGGCTTAAATAATGTATCTTTTCAATTAGCTTTGTTTTTTTATTGTAATATTTTTGTGTCATTTATTTATATATTAAAAGAAATAAAATATAGATGTCATATTTGATTTTTTACAAAAAAAAAAAAAAAAAAAACAGTATGCGTAAAACTTTATTTGAAAAATTCTGCATATGTATATTTCCAAGATATAATAAAGCATGAAGAAAATGTAATTTAATGGGAAGTTCGCGTTCATTTGAATTCATAATGCATAGCCTTCGGCATATTTGCGTTCGATCGAGCATATATGATGATTATATGG